TTTTTATGGCTTCCTTTCTTCAACTTCCACCCAGCCCCCAGACTGCACTCCTGTATAAATGAAAACTAGCCATTTCCCATACTCCCTCCCAGTCTAAACTGACTCCATGGCTGTCACATAGGCATTCAACCCCTGATTAAGTGATATGCAGAAGCAACATCCCCAACCACATTTTCCACAATCTCCCCTTTTCTTTTTATTTACTTTTTGTTGCATCTACATCTTAATTCATTATGTATTCTAGTTTTGATCATAATTAAGGTTCACCTCAGTCTCTTCACAAGGTATTATGCAACAACCTACAGCTGTCAATAACCCAGCTATCAACTGTCATGTCAAGGCATTTTATCAAGGCTGAATACTTAATTCTAAAATTCTAGGCCAAATAGCTCAATCTTATATTTGCATCTTACTACAATAACCTCAGATGTTCTCACATCAATCTTATTTGATAGATTTGATATCATTCTTACAATACTTATGATTATACAAATTTGCCATGAAAGAATAGGGACATAGCTAAAGTAAGGGGACAATGCTTCCCTAGCTTCATGTCAATTCCAGGAAGAAGTTGTATGGTGGCCAATTGCATTGAGCCAGGCTTAATGTCTGCCAGGTGTCATGGTGGGGAAACTGAGTCAGGAAAATCCTACCTCAGCCATGCAGAAAAGTCATTCTCCCAACCTTCCCATGAGAACACCCTCTGCAGTTCATAGATGGCAGCTCACAGACCCCTCAGAAGGTTGCTGGCATCATGGGTCAGTAACTCAATCAGTTTCTTGATAACCATACCTGGAGTTAGACTCAGAAAAATAGTTCATTAACAGCCCCCAAGATCTTGGATAGCAAATTCCCATCATCAGGTTTTCAGGTGAGACTATAATCTCACATTAGTTAGGGAACATCTCTAAAGTGAGCATGCATTCCTACACATATTCCAGTTCCTGATTAAATAACATCCTGAGTAAAATCAAATTTCCATTAAGATCATAAATTGCTACTCTAATAGATTTCATCTCTGTTTTTCAAGCTTATTTATCTTTCTCTAACTGTATTTAATCTGAAAGAATGAGACACTTTCAGAGATTGAATCTTATACATGTGAGAAGTTCAAACACTAATTCTAACCCTTGCTAGGCCATGGAATGAATTCAGACCAAAACAGTAAGATCTTCCCCACTTATAGCTCATTACAATAATTGCTTTAGTATTTTCTAAATTAAGTTTATTCATTTTTAGTTTTCAACATTCATTTCCACAAGATCTTGAGTTCCAAATTTTCTCCCCATCTCTCCTCTCCCCCCACCCCAAGACAGCATGCATTCTGAATACCCCTTGCCCTGATCTGCTTTCCCTTCTGTCACACCCACCCCCTTCCCTTATCCCCTTCCCTTTCTATTTTCCTATAGGACAGGATAGATTTCTATACCCCATTGCCTCTATCTCTTATTTTGCAGTTTCATGTAACATTTGTTTTTAAAACTTTGGGTTCCAAATTCTCTCCCTTCCTCGCTGCCTACTCCCCCTCCCATTGAGAAGGCAAGCAACTTGATACAGGTCATACATGTGTCATTATGTAAAACACTTCCATAGTAATCATATTGTGAAAAATAATATTTCCTTTAATCCTATCCCACCCCCCCATTTATTCTATTCTCTCTTTTGACCCAATCCCTCCTCTGAAGTGTTTGTTTCTGATTACCCCCTCCCCCATTCTGCCTTCCCCTCTATCATCTCCCTGCTCTCTTGTCCCTCCCCCTCCCTTTTTTCCTTTAGGATAAGATGGATTTCCATACCCAACTGAGTGTGTATGTTATTCCTACCTTAAGCCAGATCTGATGAGAATAAAAATGACTCATTCCCTCTCACTTTCCCCCACACTGTAAAAGCTTTTTCTTGCATGTTTTATGTGAGATAATTTACCCCATTCTACCTCTCACTTTCTCCTTCTCCCAGTATAATCCTCTCTCACCCCTTAATTTTATTTTTTAGATATCACCCATTCATCTTCACCTCACCCTATGCCCTCTATCTATCTATCTATCTATCTATCTATCTATCTATCTATCTATCTATTAATCTATACATATATATTTTTCCCTCCAACCATCCTAATACTAAAGGTCTCATGAGTTACAAATATCATCTTTCTATGTATGAATGTATACAGTTCAACTTTAATAAGTCCCTTATGATTTCTCTTTCCTGTTTACCTTTTCATGCTTCTCTTGAATCTTGTATTTGAAAGTCAAATTTTCTATTCAGCTCTGGTCTTTTCATCAAGAATGTTTGAAAGTCCTCTATTTCACTGAATGTCCATTTTTTTCCCCTGAAGGATTATACTCAGTTTTGCTGGGTAGGTGATTCTTGGTTGTAATCCTGTCTCCTTTGCCCTCCAGAATATCATATTCCAAGCCCTGCAGTCCCTTAATGTAGAAGCTGCTAAATCTTGTGTTCTCCTGATTGTGTTTCCACAATATTTGAATTGTTTATTTCTGGCTGCTTGCAATATTTTCTCTTGAGAACCAAGGAATTTGGCTATAATATTCCTAGGGATTTTCCTTTGGGGATCTTTTTCTGGAGGTGATCGTTGGATTCTTTCCATTTCTGTTTTACCCTATGGTTCTAGAATATCAGAGAAGTTTTCCTGGATAATTTCTTGAAAGATGATGTCTAGACTCTTCTCTGATATGGCTTTCAGGTAGTTCAATAATTTTTAAATTATCTCTCCTGGATCTATTTTCCAGGTCAGTTGTTTTTCCAGTGAGATATTTCACATTATCTTCTATTTTTTCATTCTTTTGTTTTTGTTTTATAATTTCTTGATTTCTCTGAAAGTCATTAGCTTCCAATTGCTCCATTCCAATTTTTAAGGAAGTATTTTCTTCAGTCAGTTTTTGGACTTCCTTTTCCATTTGACCAATTCTGCTTTTGAAGGCATTCTTCTCCTCATTGGCTTTTTGGATCTCTTTTGCCATTTGGGTTAAGCTATTTTTTAAGGTGTTGTTTTCGTCAGTATTTTTTTGGTCTCTTTTAGCAAGCTGTTGGCTTGTTTTTCATGATTTTCTTGCATCACTCTCAGTTTTTCGTCTACTTCTCTTACTTGCTTCTCAAAATCCTTTTTGAGCTCTTCCATGGCCTGGGACTGATTCATATTTTTCTTGGAGGCTTTGGATGTAGAAGCTTTGATTTTGTTGTCTTCTTATGGTTGTATGTTTTGATCTTCTTTGTCACCAAAGAAAGATTCTATGGTATGACTTTTTTTGCCCAGTTTGCTCATGTTCCCAGCCAGTAACTTGAGTATTACTCTTGTTAAGGTAGGCATCTGCTTCCAGTGTGGAAAATGTGGAGAACCCTGAGCTTCAGGGGTTTTGTGCAGCTGTTTTCAGAGATATTTCTGGGACCTATAAATTTTCTATTCTTCCAAGGTGGTATGATCAAAAGCAAAGTGTTTATTCCTTTCCTGGCATGTGTTCTGGTCTATGAGTGACCACATGCACTCTTTTCTGCCTTGGAAATGTGGGGATCTTGTGGGAGTGAAACCTACGCCTGGAGAGCTCATAAAGAGAAGGAGCAGTGGCCGCTCACGTGTTTCTTTTGCCAACGTTCAACACATCACATTTGGACCATGGGGAACATATTTGATAACCTCTTCAAGGGGCTCTTTGGCAAAAAAGAAATGCGGATTCTAACAGTTGGTCTGCATGCTGCAGGAAAGACAACTATTTTGTACAAACTGAAGCTGGGTGAAATAGTAACTAGTATTCCCACTATAGGTTTCAATGTAGAAACTGTAGAATACAAAAACATTAGCTTCACAGCGTGGGATGTAGGTGGCCAGGACAAGATCCGACCTCTGTGGCACCATTACTTCCAGAACACACAAGGATTGATTTTTGTGGTTGACAGTAATGACACAGAACAGTGAATGAGTCCCAAGAAGAATTGATGAGAATGTTGGCAGAGGATGAGCTTAGAGATGCTGTCTTATTAGTGTTTGCTAACAAACAGGATCTTCCCCATGCCATGACTGCAGCCGAAATTACAGATAAACTTGGACTGCATTCTCTTCGTCACAGAAACTGGTACATCCGAGCCACCTGTGCCGCTAGTGGGGATGGGCTCTATGAAGGACTGGACTGGCTGTCCAATCAGCTCCGAAACCAGAAATGAATCAACAAAAGTTCCTCTTCCCTCTTTCCTTCCCTCCCTCTTATTTCCTCCTATTCACCCTTTGTTTTACTCTCAAGTGGCAAACTGTGCTACTTTGTGGTACTGAGTGCCAGAAGCTGTTTTTCCTACCCCTTGTCACAATATGTATTGTACCATGCTGTCAATGTGGCAAACACAGGCCTGAAAACAGGTTTCTTATTTAATGTAAATAGTTTTTGTTTCCAATGGGACAGTTTCTGGCACTCCTATGCAATATTACTCAGCTTTTTTTATTGTAAAAAAAAATCAACTCACCATTTAGTACTGGGAAGGGATTTTAAACACATTGACACTTAGGTTGCTGGGGGTTAACATGCAGCAGCAGAGCCAAATGCTACTCCTGCTGGCTTGTGAGATTTGTGATGAGATCCATTTTGGTAGTTGGTTTTTAACCTGAACTCAGTGTATTTTTTAAATAGTAAAAAAATTAAAAAAGACAAGTAAAACACTTGAACACACAGAACAGAGAAATATGCTTAGTGTAGGTTTTGCAGTAACAACTTGAGTACCAGACCATTGTAATTGTCTGCAGTTTCTCTTTTGAAACTTGAGAAATGATGATAAAAATCAAACAAGTGATCTTTTGCATGGTTAAAATAGAGATCCATGTAATGCTATGTCTTTGGATCTTTATGTATTTCATAGAGTTTGTACTTGTATTTGTGCTCACATGGATACTTATTAGGAAAAAAAGCTTTGAGGTTGTGGTTCAGAGCAGGCTGCACATTGAGAGCATTAGATCTTCAGTCATAAACCGTTTATAACTAGAGTTTTCCCCCCTTGCAATTCAGGTCAGGCTGTGATTAGTTCTCCATCGCACTTGAATAACTCTTAGGAAGGACACAATTATGGCCGGTTATAAACATTGAAAAGAGCTTTCTGACATATTTGGACAACAAAAATCCAGCCTTTTAATTTTGGTCAAGTGTGTGGTGCTTCTGTTTGAAACCTCTCCACAGTAAGTACAGCCTATGTTAGCCCCAAAGCTTGGTGGAAGGTATTTCAAAAACACAGTCAAGAACACCAGGCATTTCTCTATGGTGTCTAGGTTTTGAAAGAAAATAAATTGAGCATTAGAGCTTGGGGAGTCATTCCATTCTAGAAGTATTTGGTCCTGTTTTGGAACAATGCCCCTATCTGTATATGTGAAATGTCCTTTACTACCCCTTCATTACTACAAGGGTCAGACTTGCCATCTGAAAAAAAAGTTCTTTACTTTTTTTTCCCTTTGTATTTTGATAAACACTGAAGAAGCTGGAGCTGTGAAATGTTATCTCGGGAAAAACTCAGAATTGGTTTGTTTGGTGTTGTGGAAAGTCTTACTGCTTCCAATACACAATTAGTAATCGACTGTTTTGTATACTCGTTTTCAGTTTTCATTTGGACAAACAAGCACTGTAATTAAAGCTATTAGAATAAAATCTCTGAATTATTTAAAAAAAAAAAAGGAAATGTGAGGAGGATTCCCTCTCCATCACTGCTACAAGCTGCACCATGCCAGCACTCCTCCTCACCCTGGGACCGCAGCCACCCAGGACTGTGACTCAGATCCAAGAATGGGCAAAGCAGAAGAATCCTGCCTCAGCACCAGCAAAGAGATCCCTGCAATCCCGCTCTGATCAGCCACGTGATTTACCCACCATTTCTGGGCAAGAGCTCTGGAAGCAGCCACCACCGTGGGGTTGCACCAGGACTGGGGCTGGGACCAAGCTCCTCTCTCATCAAGGTCCGACAGACCTTTTCTACTGACCTTCTAAGTTGTCTTTGGTGTTTGCAGGTTGAGAAGTCTGGAAACCACCATAGCTCCCCTTGATTCAGTCCTCTGAGGCCTGCTCCAGGTTCACTGAGGCCCGGTCTTTGCCTGCCTGGCCCAAGCTGAAATATGTTCCTTTCCCAGCCCAGCACAACAGACCTTTTCAATCAACCATCCAGGTTGTCTTGGGCTGGAAATTTGTTTCACTCTGTTTTTTTGTGGGTTCTGCTGCTGTAAAATTTAAGAGCCATTTTTTAGAGGTATTTGGAGGAGTTTGGGGGAGAGCTCAAGCAAGTCACTGCTTTTACTCCACCATCTTGACTCCGCTCCCTAATTGCTTTAGTATTACTACCTCCCTCTGGCACTGTTCCCATTTATTTGCAGATGTTGACTCTGTTTCTCAGAAAGCGTCCATTAAGACTAGTCCAAGGACACAACAAACCTAGAAAATACAAACCTAAGAAAACAAACTCAAAATTCACAGTAGATTTGAATGTAATTGTCATCAATATCAAATTATTACTTGTAACACAATTAGCTTGCAAACCGAAATTTAGTATATCCTTTAAAAAAATCACACCAAAGATTTCATGAGACATTTCTTCATAAAAGTATTTCCCTTTCTTGAAAACAGCCTATAGTTTCCTAATTACCACAAAATTCTTAGTTACCTAAATTCTCTAGTCAAAAAGGATTTTGTAATGAGCCATTTACTCAGTAAGAATTCCACAACATAAAACCCCTCCACAGGGTTGATAAGAATTACAAGGAGATTTTACACAGTCCTTTCTTTGCGTAATTACCAAGTTTCTTTTCACAAAAATACTTTTACAAATACTTGATTTAAACAATAACTCCAAGTAGCTTAGTTAACAATGTTAACTTTCATAAGTGAGAACTAAATAATTTCAGCTGAAACTTCCCTTTAAATATAGACAAAACTTGGAAGTTCATGTTTCTTAAATTACAGTACTTAAAAAAAATGTTACACCACAGGGTCAGATAGAATGACCTAACACTTTCCCAACCCATTCCTTTTTCTCTTTCTATGACAGTACAATTCTTAATCTAACAGCATTCTAGATTATCAGAAAAATTGCTTTTCTAACATAATAGGTGATACAATTGTTTATCAAATTACTCAATTTAATAATGTAACAATTCCTTATACGTTATATTTGGAACTTGAAACAACCTGTTGTCATTTTAAGTTTTTTTTTTCCTAATTCTGTAACAATGCAATTTCTATTCCATTCAAGAGTTAACCCCAAGTTTGTTGTTGCCCCACAATCACTCAAGTGTTGTAAGGCAGCTAGTGATTGTGTAGAAACAAACAACATTCTTTTGTAGCCAATTTTTAAGCATTTCCAGAAGAAAACTGGATGAAAAACTACATTTCCTTGCCTCCTCATATCAGAACTTTTAGCTTCATGAAGATTACCTGTAGGCAACTAGTAAGTATGGGCTATAAAAGTATGATTTTTCTAGCTTTAACTTTTCTTCCGTAATTCACTGATGGGATCTGGGCTCAAGCTGAAACCTTGTGCCCCTCACCTCTTCCTTATTCCCTGTGCCCGGTCTCCCCGTTCTTAGTTATCCTTAGTTAGTGTCTATTACTGGGCCAAATGCCCCCAATCACTTCCATCCTCGATCTTATCTTGGATTCCATTCAACCACTCTAGTCAACCCTTCAAGATTTTCTCAGGGCCCTCCTCCAGTTCATTAGTTTTTAACCTGTGCCTTCAGGCCCTGTCCTCGAAATACTTAATCCATAAAGAATTCTCTTTGTTCCATTTATCTTATGTCATAAAATCCTTCCTTGACCTATTTCTAATGTTTAACCCTCATAAAAACTTCTAAAACTATATTGTCTTTTTGAAGCATAACTCCCCAATATCAGAGTCTCTTAAGATTTTTACAATCCAAGAGAATTTTAGAAATATAAACAATTTAAAAACACAAACAATAAACTTCAGGTGACATCAATTGCATTTTCAGATTATAATATATACAAATGATTGATCTTATTACTTTTCATACTTTTAATACTTACATTAAATTAGAGAGATAATAATAATGCCATGTCTAACATATGCTATTGTGTTAAGCACTTTAGAATCATTATATCATTTTGATCCCATTTCAACAACCATTATTATTTTTCCCTTTACAGAACAATAAACTGAAGTGAACAAAATTAAATCAAATCAAATCTGGATTTATAATCGCTAATGATAAACCTTTTTGTTTGAAGTCTAATACTCTTAGCCCTTTAAAAGGAAATGTTCTCCACAAATTCATATGTTCCCTTAAAAACACACTTGGCAATAATTCCTGCTGTGAGTAATTCTCTTCCCTTTTTCCCCCTACATCCTTAAGAGTGTAATGCAGAACATTATTTTACTATTTTTGGTAGTAGGGCCCATTAAGCCATGGAAAGCAGAAATTACTGCTTAATCTTGCCCCAGACCTCTTTCCTCCTAAATCTAAACAATAGTGAAATGTACTCTTGCATAGCTCAGCACAGCCCATACCTCCAACGCAAATGGGTAAGAAAGCTTGCAATAATTGCTTTAGATAATTATGTTTATACCAGAGACCAGGACACCTGGTCTGGTTTGTGTGATCTCTGACCTGTAATGATGGGGTGCTCGGGTGCTTGTGCTTCTACTTGTGCCCCAATTTCTCCCTAGTCTCAGAAACACTGTCTCTGACAACCACTCCCCAGCCCAAGGACACTGTGCCTAACAGTTATTCATGCATGGGCCTCAGCATGACCCTTATCTCTCTCCCTGGTACAGCTACACAGAGCTGGGCTGCTCAGGCCCCAGCCCTCAGATCATGTCTCTGGAAGCCTCCCAATTCCTTAGTAAGTTCCTGTGTTGTGAGAAAGCTTTCCCTTGTTGCAGAGCATTCTCTCATCAAGACAGAGGGAGAGGGGTGTCCTTGGCCAGCCCAAGGACTCTTCCTCCTGCCAGACTCCAAAGATCCATCCCCCTCCCTGTCTGGTATATTCCCTGTACTTTCCCATCCATAGCCTCCAAAGACACCTGCGCCTTTGGATTACCTCATCAATGCTCCTGGCATTTCTTTCCCATGCTCTTTTCCGTATAAACCCTAGCTCGACCCCTGATTGGGGCTGCTTGATTTGGGTGTGCATACCCCTTGCAGCCACCCGCTAACAAATCCACATTTTAAATTACATCTGGGTCTCGCTCGCTGATTTCTCGGTACAACAAGAGAATGGAAAAGTCCAGTCTGCCTTTTAGAAGCTTGTCAGATAAAATAACTAGTCTCAGCATTCCACCCTCCAGAGAGTTAATCACTCAGCAATTTGAGTCAATGTTAACCGGGTGTAGTCAGTTTCCTCCCCAGGCAGAAAGCCTTTAGAGTTCCAATAATTAATTGAACAGCCCAGGAAAACATTTTAAGATTTTATATAACAATCTCCAATCACAATAACCAATATCATTATCATAGCCAAAACTTATGCAAGTTCAGATTTAATAAAGTCTTCCTACAGGTTTATCCTGAGAGGTGGATGGTCTTTTAACCTTTTATAACTTCACTGGTTTTCAAATCAAGCTACAAAATTTTTGTTTTCAATTTTTCTACCCAAAACAAAATCAAACTGCCTCACATTTTTCAACTCCCTGAAGCTGGCATAAAATCACCCAGAACAAACATCCAAGGATGGGGAATTTAGAGCACATGAGCTCTCCGCAGAACACTCCACCCCCACCTACTCTCAAACTATATATATACATTTTCTCTTTTTCCCTACCTATCATATTTTTGCTCAAAATCTTGATTTCACTTTCCTAATCTTTCAAACTCATTATTCAGACTATCTCCACTTTCCTTTACATTCTGAATTAAAAAATTATACTCACCCCAACTTGTCCTGCTTCTTTTCACCCTGTTAGAATCTGGAGAGAGTTAATGCCTGACAGTTTGCAAATCAAGAGAGACGTATTTTCCCCACTCTCTTCAGCTTTGATAATGATAATGCTCAAAAGACAGAAAAATCTTCTAGCTTTTTTTGTTTTCCTCTCCCTCAGCCCTTACTATCTTGGGCTGTGTGCTCTGGATCCTTATCAGTAGAGGCTGCTTAACGCTTTGATTTTTCCTTCAGAGAAAAATCTTCCTGCTTTCTCATTACTCTTTTACTTAACTTTTTTTTTCTTTCTGGAATCCCAACTTGGCCTGTGTTGGGCTCCAGAAAAAAATCTTAATCTCCCACCGAAAGCCTGAGGTTGGAGTTCTTTCCCAATGTTCTCTCTTTAATTACAGACCTTAGAAGTTCCTTAGAAGTTTTTCTGGCTGCATTTAAAACTTTCACACAAACATGAGACATTTACAAACACACATGCACACACACACAGACAGCCATCTTGACAAGACAAAGAGCACACAAATCTAATTTTTGTTGGCCTTTTAAAGTAATCCTGACTGGTCAAAAGAACCTTATTGTACACCAGTGCTGAACTTTTTCTTATCCTTACATTCCACATCTTCCCAGGGCCAAGGGTCTCATTATTGTCTCCCTAGAGCTTTATTCCCCCTCCTACCTCCTTCCCTAGGATTTCTTTTAAATATCTAACTTGGTGCTTATCTCCCTTTTGATAAGACCTCCCATGTGGATCTTCTCCACACTCCCATTGTCCCTGACTGCCCTGATATTTATTCAACCC